TCTATAAAATATATATTATATAATTATCTTAGGATATTTGAATTTTATAATTGGGTATAATATAAAAAAAACACAATTACTTCCACTTAGTAGGAATAACATTTACCATGACGCAATGCTAAATTCTGTGCCACTATCCACATAAATGCCACTATCCACATAAATCAATTATTAATCAAAAATCGAATACCAATTACTTTTCTTTATAATGCAATAAAATCTGACGAGCAGCTATTTAAACGATCAAACACTTCGTTTGTTTATTTGTGGCTTGAAGTTAGGCTCGCAGAAAATGCCGTTCATGGGTTAAATTTAGTAGAAATAACACAACCTGTGACGTAGGCTATAGTATACCCAATTGGGTGTGAAAATCTTTCGATTTTTGCTTAAAAAGTTCCCTTAATATGGAAGTGAAATATGGAAACATTAAGGCGCCTAAACTTCCGATTGCTCCTACACTGATTAAAAATCGATATTCGTCAGAAAAAATGACGTAATAATTTAGTAGCCCTTCTTTAAACCATTAAGATCGGCACTCGGTGAAAATTCTATCATTAGTACAGAAGTTATTCACTGTGGTTTAATGCAGGTACAAAGACTGTTTAGGTATTTCTGAAGTAATTGTGCCCATTGTTACACTGTTTTCAAATCATGATTCATTAAAAAATAGATTGGCAATGTGTTGGGCTCATGTTGGATTGCAGCTGGTAGACAACAATTTGCAGTAACTTTGTGAGCTCATCTTGGTTAAATGTGATGATTTTCTTCATATGGATTCCACAGTCAGATCTCCAAACTTCAACTTTGTAGATAATGTTTGAACACTACGGGAAGTACAATTGGAATTTAATTGGAAACTTGAAAGGTCCTTTTGGCAAATATCCAGAACCTCAAAACTGAATTACAGACAGAACAAGTGGGACCATTTACTACAGGAATGCTTAAACTATCTTACTTCCTGCAGAAAATCAGTGTGAGACCTGATCGAATCCGAAACCACTGACTGATGCGCATGCATTTAAATTGTTTTTTTTTATTATTATTATTTCAACTAATCTTCATACTAGTTCTGGAGTTACTGACGAAATATGAAAATTCTCCTTATTTTGAAATGTACTTTTGTATATTTAATTTAAAATATACAAGCTTGCTGACAATAAATAACTAGAATATCTTGGAAAATTCGATGAAACTTAGAAAGATAGGCATTTTATTTAGAAATTCTGATACTTACTTCATGTTGTTTGAATTTGGGGTGGGGCTATATTTAATAATTTGAACCATATGTGGTTGACAATGTTAAAATGCTTAACTAGTTTTCAGAGGTACAAGATATTTAAAGATTTACAATTCTGACTTAAATTGTTATATTAACAGGGGTGATTGTGAGCCCAAATCAAAATTCCGGAAAATTTCTTGAGTTTAAAAAAAAAAAGAAAAAACTTTAAATTGAAAAATCAGGAAAAAAATTTAAACAAGGTTTTTTTCCTTTTCCTCAATATTTCTTAGTTTACTTAAAATATATTTAAAATTTTACACATACATATACCATTTACACATACCTATGATGATCTGGAAAAGTAATTAAAATTTACAAATATGTCTTTCTTTCTTGAGTTTATGATTATAACAACTATTTACTGATAAAAAATTAATATTAATCATGAATATAAGCTTATAAAGTATCTTTCCGTCTCGCCCTTACAAACAAATAAATGTTTTAAGTTCCACCTTTTGAAAATTTGATTTTCGGAAACTTCCGGATCACTGTTAGCAAAAATTCCGGAAATCCGGATTTTTTTCCGGAGCACAATCAGCCCTGTATTAACCAGGTCATATTAACTGAAAGAAGAAATATTACTCATGCAAAAATTTATATTTATACATTGTGAGCAAAAATATTAGTTAAATTGTTACAGCTATTTAATTTTTTCTAAACTTAATTTATTGTGCTTGAATGTTTTTGAGTGTACGCTTGATTAAACTATGAAAAATTTAATGTAACCTTCATATTATTTAGCATTTATAAAAATGAGTTTAAGAAGTATGAATTATAGTAAAGCATTGTTTATATGTTTATGAGGGGACCGATGTATATCAAGAAATAAATGAAAATGCTAAATTAAGCAAATAATATTAGAAAACAAAACATCTACTAAAGTGAAAAGAAAATCATACCTTTAATTCTCATCTTGAGTACACAAATGTATATAATTCTTGGCATACACATTTAAGTAAAAAAAATCTGAGAGAGACACAATTGATAACTTATTTTTCCATTTCCTTCACAATAAATTAACTTTGCAAAAGTGCTACTAAATTTATAAAGTTGATCCTGATATATTTTTGTTAATGAAACATTCAAAATTATATGTAATTACATTAAAATCATTTTAGTTTTTGTAATTATTATTTTACGGAACGCACGAGATACCTACCTATTTATTGTTTGAGGCTAATACAAAATTTTAGCATGAAAAAATTGAATAATTTATTTTTGACATGCAGCTTTTTTGTATTGTGTTTAAATTATGCAGACAAATTAAATATCTGTTAATAAGGCTTAAACTTTAATAAAGTGCACACGTGGGGAGGGAGATGGAAAATTAAAGCACAACACAAGATATGCAATTATATAAATGTTTTAAAGTTATAAAAAAAAGTATTAATGAAATAATTTTTGTGCGATGCAACTTCATATTTTCCTCCCATTGAGATAACATTACTAAAGAACTTGTGATGATCATCATTTAATAAATTATTATTGTTTTCCTCCTAATTTTTTTTTTCAGGTATTCTTGTTAAAAGTACTTTCACTATTTTGTAAAGTTGAGCCCCAATTATTCATTGAATTGGATGACAAGAACTCCGGGGATAACAAAAATCGCGTACAATCCAAATAAAACACGCAAAAATATTTTAAAATATATATCCATAAGTGTGCATACTTTTAACATACTGGGACTCAACTCTGTTTTTCTAATTTATTTGGGCATTTTACACCATTCTTTTTTATGTTTTTGTTGCGCTCAACTATGCGATTAAAAAAAAAGGACTATTGTCACCTATTTCTGTTCCTTAGGTTTAAAGTAGTGCAGCATTTTTCTTTAATAAAAATTGTGTTACTAATAAAGCAAATTTTTTCCTAACTGAAGAAAAAAAATGTATTTTCTTTAGTTAGGAGAAAATTTGCTGTATTAGTCGCACACAATTTTTATTAAAGGAAAAATATATATATATTAAATTAGTACTTACCATTGTTGCTATTGATAAATTATTTTGAGGTATAAAAAAACTTTATTGAAAATAGATTACTATTGATAAAAAATTTTAATTGCAGTATTCATATCAATAGAATGTTTTTCTTTATCGACAAACATTAAAATTATTGGACGGTTGTGTTCAGGTGATTCAAAATGAGTCTTGTGCGAGATCATAGATGTAATTTGTGCCTAAAGCACTTCTTCCATTAATTTTACTACCTTGTTAATTCAAATCTCACTTGATAAGTTTCCATTAGGAACACAAATTAATTAGACATGTTTCTGTTTTTAATGAAACTTTATCAATTACTATATGACTTGTTTGTTTAGGTTATGACAAGAAAAGCTTACCAATTATCTCAAAAATGAGTTCGCAACCACCTCATGTTTTCTTCAATTATAACTAATATTTACTTGTGGAACTTAAAGTCTTTCCAATAAATATGCTATATGGGATAATTTAACAATTATAAAAGGCCAACTCAATCTGTTAGTTATCGTATGGGATTTCTTCAGGGAAACTTATAAAAGATTAAACTATAAAATATATAAGATTTAGGTTTATCAGTTTGCACAACCTATGGGAGTACCAAAAGAGTAATATATATATACATATATATATATAAAAATAAGCTGTGCTTTGTGCATTAAGTTACTTATTTCTGTCTGACTGAAAGTACCAGATTGAAACTATTTAATTTTGCATGTTCTTTTTATGACTATGGCATACTTGCCAAATTTTACGCATTTGGTGTAAAATTTTATTTCTATATTTAAAGTGGTAGTAAAATGTATGTTTTCTATATATTCCTTGCATTTATAAACTAAATTTTATAATCTTTTTGACCACCACTATTTTTAAAAAAAATTAAGCAAATATATTAATATGCAATACTGGTTTTGTAGTTTGAATATGCTCTATCAAAATACTGCGTATGTTTCGGCCTAAAATTGTAATTTAAATTCCATTTTACTACCACTGGGGGAAAATCATCCTCGAACGGATTAAAAGTTGGCAGGTATGCAATGGCTCAGTGTTAGCAGTAAAAATAAATGTCTTATGAATTTCTACAAATAAATGTGGGTGATTTCTTATTCTGAAAGTAGATATTAAAGCATGACTTTAAAATACCATTTCTGTTCATCTAATACTTATCAGGAACAGTAACAAATTTTGTTATTTCTGTATTCGATTGCAAGTTAAGAAAAAACTATTATCTGTTTGCATCTAAGTATATACACCAAATGTATGCCAAGCTGAAAAATTAGTTATACATGTGTGAGTCATATTAGTATTTTTAACTTGGATTACAGACTTAAGACTGCTGGCTCGCTCCCCACATACTTCCTAATTTTTGTGGCCCATTGTGCATTCCTTTTTTTATACAGTTCAGTATGTATTTAATTTTTTATTGAAATGATAGTGAACTGTACAAAGATAGGGTATTCATTTATACAGTTAGTCTAGTCCCCTTGTACAAGACTGGTTAACAGTTAAAATGTGCCAAGTAATATTTCAGACTTAGTTGCTGCATACTACTGTTCACAACAATTTTGTAATGAAAGAAAATAGTTTAGCAGGCTTTAAATGACCATGATTCCACCCTATTTGGAATTGGCTATTACAAATTTATCTGTTAACTAGATGAACATTTCATTATAATTAAAATTATCAACTGTTTATATTTATGCTGTTATTTATTCATAAGATACTAAATTCTTACTTTTATTTTTCAGCTTACAACATGAAGCATTTGCCAAGCATAATGTGTCTGTCCCACCAGGTAGCAAGTTAATTTTATTAACGGACCTTAAGAACTACATTCAGCAACTGAAAATTATGATGTTGGATCGAGAGAAGCAAAAAGAAATGAATTGTGACTTTACAACGTCTGAATCACCCTTATCCAAGCGGTGGTGCAATAATGCTCGAGAATGCTGAGCATTCCTGCATTCCCTCTGACCACTGGCAAAAAAATGAACTTTTTATACTGTAAAAAGAAACAAATCAAACTTCCAATATTTATTTATTTATTGTTTTGTTTTGATCTTCACCTGAGCTAGAAACCAAAAGAACCAGAATCTCATTTGTGTTGCTTTGAGTTTCTGTACCTTCTGTTGTAGCAAGTATTATTGAACATCTATGCAGAGCCAGTGGCAGATGCGCGTGTGCGATCCCACCTCATATTTTAGAAAAGCCAATGCGTGCAAATTTTAATCTATTTTTTCATGTTATCTATTATGTTGGAACTGCATTTATTGTAAATAGATGTATTAGTGTTGTTAATGCAGAAGACAAAAAAAGTAAATTAAATATGTTGTGATTAATTTGTTTTCTTTCATTTGATGCCTCAAACCATTGACACCTCAAAACTCAGAATAATTATACTAATCTGCAAATAACACACCATAGCAATGCTTTTTTTGGGGTTGGGGGAGAGATATAAAAATAAACAATTTATACATGTGTATATATAATAATTTCATATTTACTTTTTACAAGTTTAACATCTCTATTTTCCTTTTGAACTGCTAAGCAACTTGTCAAAAGACTTGTACTTTCCAAACATTGTCTGCTTTCAGATTTTATTAGGAAATGAAAAAAGTTTTTTCTGAATAAATATTAATTTTGTTCTAAATTCTGAAAATATTTATTGTTCGTAAATAAATTATATCATTATTTTTAACAATTTTGCTTTATTGAAAATTGATGATTAAAAAAAAGTTAATACAAATAGGAGTATTGTGTTTTAGGTTTAAATTTAGATGTTAAAAATTTAAAGCTCTCAAAACTGATATTTTTTAATGATGAACAACAAATAATAAAATTTTAGATACAATATATATTTATAAAAATTATAAGGATTTTTTTCTTCTTTATTATAATAAAATGAAACATTTTGATGTTGAATCCTTACATCCCACCCTCTGGCTATAGCCCAGATTTATCCAGTTCTAATACAAAATACCACAACATCAAATATTATATTTATGTATTACAAGTATTAATTCAGAAAAAATCCACAATATTTTGACTGCCATGGACTCTATTCTAAATTATTTAAACATTCTAAATTTAGTTTTTTTTTTTTTTTTTTTGTTTTTTTTNTTTTTTTTTTTTTTTTTTTTTTTTTTTTTTTTGTAATTAAAAAAAAAGACAACTATGCATAAGAGTGAGTATTATCTATTTACTTCACCCACAGTTGCATGACCCAGAAACTTGACTTGAATAAAACTTGAGCCCATCACTTAGTGAAAATGTGATGTCTCAGTTACTGAAATCTTGTTACTCTTCTATCTTCTTGTTGTCTTGTTAATCCTTGGTTTTGAAAAATAATTTTCAATCACTCTTTTCTAAAAAGTGCTAGCCCCAGGGCTGCCAACTACAACGCTTTTTGGAAAAATATTTTAAGAGTGGAAGTCAATTAAAAACTATAACTTACATAGTTTTTTAGTAATTTAGCCAGCATTTTAAAAACTTCGCCACAAGAGAGAGGAACAAGTGGCATTTCATATGAAGTTATGAATTATTTTCATGTAGAGGTGGAGAAAATAACTAAATCAGGTGCACGAAACAAAGAATCGTACATTAAAACATAAACTTAGCTACCGTTAGAAGAAATTTTCTCCTAAATATTAAAAAATTGGTATCTCTTTTGCCCAGTGCCGGATTACCCATTGGGCTAGACTAGGCCATGGCTTAGAGCCCCCTTAAAATGGATTTTTTGAAAATAAATTTTAAAAAATTAAGAAAAGCAATGATTTTTTAAAAAAAAAATTAATTTCAAATATATATGTTATGATTATAAAATGTTATGCTTATTTTTTAGTTCTAATTTAACAAAATAAAGTAAAATTTAATTAATTTTAATTTTAAATATGCTTTCTTAAATGGAAAGATGTATAAATACTTTTACTTTTCAATAATTAAAAAATATACGAGAAAAAAATTTTAATCTAAGGGCCCTGAAAATTTGAATGGCCTAAAGCCGCATACGCTTAATCCGGCACTGCTTTTGCCCCAATCATAAATTCAAGTGATCTTTGTGATGGTTCTTTTGGCAGTTACTGCTATGAATTTCCTCACAGTTTTTAAAATCTTGCTATTTATAATATGAGAGTGAATTTCAAATTCCGCATTTCAGTAATGATTTTCTTTATACTTTCAATCAGTATTGATTTCATCTTAATCTAAAGTGATTTTTTTGCTACGAATTTTCAAAATCCTAATTCAGTTTTTTTTTTTTTTTTTTTCCAAAACGCAAATTTTTGGGAAGTTTCTTAATCTGAAAAAGTTCCTTTTTTTAAAAAAAATTAAATTTGCTTAACATATTGAAGAGTAGGCTACTCTTTAATATCTTATGATCAAAAATTTTTGTGCTTAACGTTAATAGAGAAATTTTTTATATTTCTCTTTCATTGATAAAATATCTAGACTATTTTTACAAGTATATATCTTTAGTTTAAACATATTTTTAAATGATTGCTTTTCTTGTATGATTGAAATGTTTTTTTAATCGAGTATTTTTCAATGGAATATAAATTAATTATTATGTTAAATGTAATATATCTTTAAAAAATATAATTTAAATTTAAAAAAAAACTGATTGAAATTAATTCAATCTATTTTTTTCTCCAAAAAAACATATTAAATCAATAATAATAGTGCTGAGTGTATAATTATTTAAAAGTTGCAATAAGAGCTCTAGCTACACTAAAGTGACCCATTTGCTTTATTATTATTGTAGCTTTTTTTTTCTTCTAGAAGTGGAATTTTCTTTTTGAAGCATAAAAATAAGGAAAGTAAGGTTAATAATCTTTATCATATAGAACACATTTGTTGTACCTAATTGTGCATGTAAATTTCTAAGGTTGGTTAATTCTATTAATATATTACAAATTTTTTGTGGCAATTATGAAATAAAAGTTTTTTCATAGTTGTGCAAATTTTTCATTACAAATCATTCTAATATTGGCATAAAAATTATCTCCATTTTATAATTTATTAGTTCAGGTATAACAACTTCACCCAGAATATATTAAATTATTAGAGAATTTTTTTTTAAATTGTTGTGATATGGACAAATTATTTAATCAATTTTTTGTTGAATCTCTATTGATTTACTTACCAATCTCATCTGATAGCATTAAAATAAATGCATTGCAGGCGAAACTGTTTTCACCTATTGGGAACACAATTTATAGATAAAAAATAATAAGAAATATCATACTATTTATTTATTTTCAGGGCCTAACATTAAAATGAAAATTCACAACTAGACAACAATTAACGTATAAATGTACCATATCTACTTGCTAATTTCTCATACATTTTAATCTGTTCAAGGGTGATAGATGGCTTAACTATTTCTAGGGCTTTCATAAAATGCTCCTCAGTTATGTATTCAGTGCTTTCATTCTGTCTAAGAGCTATGGTCACTGCCTTTATATAAGAAAACAAAATGCCATTAATAAGACAGAATTCAGAACTTTTACACAATTATCTAAAAATAATTTTAAAAAATGAGAAATGTCAAAGAAAGGATTATTTGTATGACAAAATATAGAATTAAAAGAAAAAAGCCATGATAATAGTGATTTTCAAGCAACTATTAAATGGTGTGAAGTGGAAAAATATAATGATATAGCTCGGTGATTTACAAATATTTTAATATTTATCTAAGTACCAACAATAAATATTTCTATCACCCATTTAAATCTCAAAAAGATTATAAGATTTTGTGAAATGCATGCAGATATAAATAAGATTTTATAACCATTACAATTTTAGTTAAAATTGTGGAAAGCTTTGAAAGTGTTCAATTTTTTAATTGCCCCCTAATTTTCTGGAACAAAATAAAAATTTAAAAAAAAAAAAACTTTTTGGTTTAGTGATTTCTCAGTTTAGAGGTAAATAATCACATTATTTCATTGGTGAACAAATTTGAAACTATCTTTCGGTTATTAAAATTTAGACTTAAGGAAAAAAGATAATTTGTTTTTTAGATGAAAAATAATAATTTTTTAAGGTATTTATGAAAAACCCGTGCAATATTTTATTTTAATTCCATATCACTAGACAAAATTGAACCTCATTGATGGCAGAGCTTTAAGTTTAGAACTGTGTTTTGCCTTAACCTTTTGAGAACCACCTAACAAGAAATTAATGACCATAAGATATATTTAGTAATGAGGTTCAGTATTTATGTCCAAAAAGTTCGGGATATTGGCTAGAACATATGGTTAACAGCCTTCTGAAAATCAACTATCTAGTAAAATTTCAAACTTATAAATTACAATTAAAACAAGGTATTCTGGGACAAAAGGCTGTTTATCAAAAATGTATAATTCATTAAGCAGGGATTTGTAAATTCTGCACCAACTACATACATGAAACATTTACATAGCTAAATTGGATTTTGTCTAATAAATGAGCCCTTCTCACAAAAAAAGACAAGTATGATATAATTAAATTTTAAAACAATCTTATTACAAACAAATGTACAGTCAGCAAAAAAAAAAGATCACCCTGAATAACTTTTGTTCTAATGATCAAATTTTCACGTACTAAGTGTCAATCGTAATGGTTCCTGGCGGCAAGCTTAAATATGCTAAATAATTAGTGCTGACTATTAATTAAGTTACGAAATCGGACACAAAAATGTACTTTCTCTGAATAAACACATTTTTTTATTACATATTTGGATACTTAAAAAAATAACTTGGTGACAACGAAGAAATATTTAAATGGGGTGATTAATATTTAAACTGTCAACTTACGAGGAACTAGACGTATGCGAGCATAGCATAAAATTTCATTCATATTTTTTTATCCAATTCCAATAACGAATTGCTCATTTTTTTAGTTTATAAAATACGATGTTTCTTTTTTAACCCCTTCCTTCTTGCTCCCGTGAAAAGGACAAGTTGAGTTTTTGCTCTCTATTTCTCGCTCCCGTGATATTGACGGGCTGGAGTGTTCAGTAGTAACGCGGCAATAAGAATAAAACTAATTCATTTCTTTTGCCTGGAAAATATTTTATTTCTCATTTTACACACCAGATCGCAGTACTAGAATATTTTTTAAGGTAGTTTATAGATAGTTTATTTTAAACTAGATTTCAGCACTAATCGAATACGTAATACAAATACAAAAGCCAAAAAATAGGCACTTTTATGACCGTTTTCTTGAAAATTAACCGATCGTTAAGCGGTTAAGAGTCTAAAAAGTTTTGTCGTAATTTAGTAAAGAAATTTGAATCAAAGATTATGTTGAATAAAAAATATTTTATTCCACATTTTTATTCAAGATTTTTTTTTATAAAAGCATGTTTCTGAAAGAATGTGATCATATTTTATTTTTTAGTTTGTTTTTTTAATAATTGATACAATACAAACGTATGCATATATTTGGAATGATATTGATCAATTTTTTCTATATAAATTTTATAATTATTGATATGAATACGTATCAACATTTTTAAGCATCTTAAAATTTCTAAACATCTTATATATTGTCTTAATCATAAAATAAATGAAGTCGTATAAATGAGGTTAAAAACAACATAAAAAAACCCAAATAATGTCAGATAAAAAGTTCATGTATTCAAATTCTAAAAGTTTAGAAAATCATAAATAATTTATAAATTGATTCATATTTTCTTTTCAGAGGAGATAAAAAAGAAAAAAAAAATCTTTGCCTTTTGGTCAGAAATCAGCTGAAAATTCTCTATTGTCTAGAAACTTCGATGTATTCTCTTTTAACTATTAATAAATAAAGCTTTCTAAGCAATCACAGAACATTATTTAATTTTTTTTTAGATAGTCTGAACTTGGTTGCTTAGCAACCCGGAGTAAAATTAAGTACTCCTCTCTTGAATTAGTCTATGAGTTATCTTAAAATATTCATTTGGGCGAAAACTTTGTTTGACTGTTTTTTTGGACTATCGCCAAATCTATATATTTACTATCCAATTTTTTTTAAATTTAGTTGAATTTTTTTTTTTATTTAACAGAAATTTCGAGGGTCAGGAATCCAAAAATGTAAAAAAATAAAATAAAAAAAAACATGTCTAGAGAAGGCACGTATTTGTCTCTGATTTAATAACTTAATTGATAATTAGCACTAATTTATTAGTAGATTTAAAGTCACCCCCAGAAACGAAAGTTACTCAGGTTGATATGTTTTTTGGTTTGTCCACTCTACTGGAAGCAAACAAATATTTTTACGGAAAAACAAATCTACCAACAAAATATTTTATGAGCTTTCTGCTGTGCAATAGAAAATACAATGTAAGTGACAAAAAATTTTTTTTGATAATATTTGACATTTTTGTTATGTTATGCTACACATTTAAAAAACAAAATTTTTCAAGAATCAATATTCTTTTACCAGTTTTTAAGATTCTATTTTAGTGTTTTTAATATTAGCAGGAGAAAGAAAATAGTTGCCCAGGGGCATTATCAAAATCTTACTGAAAGCACATAAGTCGTTGTTTTTCAATTGTATAACAGTTTTCTAGAGCTACTAAGACAAACACTCAAATTTCAAGAATATTTATAAAATTTGATGATTTTTTTTAATTAAAATAAAAGGTAAAAATAAAAAAACATTCATATTACTCAAAACAATACTTTAAAAATGAAATTGTAGTAAAAATTAAAAAAGATAGAGTAAGATAAAAAAAACTTATCCAGAAAAGTTCATTTGATACACTTGCAAATTTCAAATTCTTATCGAATTTACATTTTTAAAAGTCTTACAAGAGGTCTAAATATAATTTATCAAAAAATATTACTAAAGATTTTCTGTTTTCATTCAGTGATCAATTTTAATTAATCATAATTCAAAATAATTATAAGCTTTATGATCCAAGTCGAAAATATTCACTTCAAATTTGAAATCTCTTGATTGAATATAATAAAAAACAATTTTTAAACAGTAATTGTAAAAATATATTGAAGTACTTAGCAATTTCTTAAAAAAAGTAACAAAGAATTATTTATTTGTCACAAACTATATCTAACAGTAATTTTTTTTCCTTGATTTTAATAAGTATATTTATTTTTTTCACACAAATAAAAAAAAAACTTCTTTTTCAATGAAAATGAAAATGAAAACAATGCCAAATAATAAAATATATAAATGAAAATAACATACTGTTCTATAGAGATGCGTTAAATCAGCCCCAGACAAATGTTCAGATTTTTCAGCTATTAACTTCAAATCAACATTAAGCAAAGGCACATCTGTGAAAGTCCTTAAAATGGATTCACGTTCCTAATTTATAAGAAAAGATAACAATATTTCTAACATCCTTTTTAAATCAATACAACTAAAGAATTTTGTAGCTTAATCTTATTTATAATCTTATCTTAATTATGTTCTTATCGTAATCTTATTTCTTAAAATATTATTTATAGATAGCTGTCAGAATAAACTAATGAACCACTTGATAATTTATAAAATGTTACCTAACATGCTTAACCTTTTACAAGTTCTTTCTGGAGTTATCCATTTAATTAGTTATCTGTTATCTATTAATTAAATTATCTATTAAAAATTTGTTATCTATTAATTGATGCTGCAATTTGCATGTTCCAGAGGAGAATGTTTGTTCATAAAATACAAAAATTGACAATACGCCTAATATATATATATATATATATATACAAAATTATAAGGCTACAGAGCTGAACATTAGTAGTCGTAAACCCAAAATTGGGTCGACTGTTCAACAGTGGTTATATATATATATATATATATATATATATATTCAGTAAAATCANTATATATAACCACTGTTGAACAGTCGACCCAATTTTGGGTTTACGACTACTAATGTTCAGCTCTGTAGCCTTATAATTTTGAACCAATCCAGAAGACAAGGAAACTCCTGGATCAGTACCCCCAGAGGTATGATTTTTTATGGGAACATCGATGGAGGAACTTTGACACTTGACAGATTTAATGTGCATCAGTCTCCATTTACCACAAGGGGAGTCTTCAGCAGCTGAGGATCGAACCCACGACCTCTTGACCTAATATCATTGCAAAATTTTGTAAAGCAAAATGCTACATCAGCTTTGAATGAAGAAACACAGCATTCTTGCAACAGCCCATAGTGGGCCATGATAGTCATGGCACTTAAGGGATCCCCTAACCTGGGGGATAAGAGTGTTCCTCTTTGTCTGGTGTCTCTCTTCTGTCCTATCCAGCTCAGATGAATGACTCTGACAGTAAATAAACTAAAGCCGGCATAGCTCTTGGGATTAACAACAGTTACAAATAACACCATCATAATATGGGAACACCACTGGTGGGTCCTAACTATGCTGAATTTCCAAAACAATAGCATAGCAATTTTTGATACTCTTGCAGAATAAAATAGGCACACATAATACTAGGACATATGGATAATGGTATATAGATAGCTCAGTTAAAAAGATAATAAATACTTACACAACATTAATTGAAAAACCAAGAAAATTGCAAAAAAAATTACAAAATGGTACTAAAATAAATTCACATTTCACCAACTGCAAAAATTGTCAAAACAAAATTGGGAACATTTGGATTCTGTTCATTCATATGAGTGTCCAACATCATACAAAAGAAGTTGCTGTAGTGCTAAATAGAGTTAATAAAATGAAAATTTACAACATTACTTTATGATGTTGCGTTTGTCTCTAAATTTAAGCCATACTTTCTGAAAGTAGTAGAAAAGGAAAGCGTTACACCTTAAATAATTTTGTCTAATTACCCATATTTATTAAGTATTATACTAACAATTTTAAAAAAATTATTTAAAAAAATAATGTACATGTTTAAATTGTTATTTCTTGTGTCCATTTATTTTAAGTTCAATATTTTAATTTTGATTTTGCATTAAAAAAAAACACTTTAATTTAGCAAAAAGCAAAAATCTTTATGCCTCTAGATTAACTGATTAAATGCTTAACGCTTAGTGACAAACCCACTTCTGACCCTAGTTTCACCAGTCACATAGAAAAGACTGATGCCACGTCATGTATTTTAACTCTCAGTTTTCATAGAATTCAGATGAAATTTTCACTTTGTCATACCTCTGAAAATGAAGATTATGCTAGATCTATTGCATAATCAATTCTAATTAGATATTAAAATATAATAAGCATTCATTAAAAAATAATTTTCTATGAAATTATTTTTGGTTAAGCAAATTTTAAAATAGATAAAATAAATTCACACAATTAATTCTATAGATACAGTAAGAAATTTTAAAGAAAATCAAAATAATGTTTAGCAGCCACAACTTTTTAAACTGCAGGCCTGACTGAGTTACTCTCCCTACATTTTTCAGACAGTGTCCAGCCCACTTTTTTGGCGATGAAGCTTCCGGATCATTAGAGAAAAGATATAATTAGTGAATAATTCAGAAAAAGTATGTTATTATGTTGGATTTCATTATATAAATAAAAGTAAGCTCTAATCAATAACCATATCTTAGTTTGAACCCTCAAGTTATGACGATTGCATTATAATTTGCACTAATCAGTAAGGACAATGTAAAAAATTATTCAGAGTTAAGAATTTTTTAAATACTGCATATTAAGAAAACTTTAAACCTTTTATTTTATAACTTACTTCAGCATTAGGGGGAGGCACATACAATATCATATCAAAACGGCCAGGTCTTAACAAAGCATCATCAATAAGATCAGGACGATTAGTTGCTCCTACAACTATGACTTGGTC